AATGGTGAACAATCCGGGAACAGAATCCAAGCCACAACTACCCCGTCTTCCTCTACCATCAACTTTTCGAAAGGACTTACGCCTTGATGGTATTTTAAGTGCCACCATGCCGCGTAGATATTTACAAACATACTCCGGGATCCGAATACAGAACCGATGATATGGTAGTCGGTACTGCTAATCGCCGTACAAATTAGAATTACCATACCAATTAGATACATAAAATGTTAAATGCAATGTAATAGTAAATGCAATGTAACACAGTCAAAAGTAAGTAACACCCCATGTCTACATTAAACGTCATCATTTTATGTCAACAAATAAAAATTGTATGACTGAGCACACATTCGAATTTCTTTCAATATACAAATCTACAGTTTATTCCGATCTTTATGAAACTTTGCCACACTCGAACTTCAAAATAACAGGAAAGTCACTCTCTTTGTAAGATTTCTCAAAAACTAACCCATGCTATGGGGGCCGCACTCTTTATATACATAATTTTTACTTTAATTTAAGGAACTTTTGATTAAAAACTCAGCGATTTAAAAGCGCTGCGTTTCCATTCTGCAAAGCGTAAGATGTACATGTTCCAAATTGAATCAGAAAACTAGCGGATATAAAAAAAAAAGTGTTGCCACTCGAAAAAAGGCAGTTATACTAATTTGTCTCAAATTTAGTAAACAAACCAAAGAGGTTATGGAGTAAGCATGACATCACAAAAATGAAGTCAAGGAAATGTCAGCAACATGACGTCAAGACTTATCATGGCCAACCATACAGCGTACGCATAAGACTAAGAAACATATTATTAAATAAAATTACGCTGAATTTGAAATCAAATATTAACATTCGCAGGCTCAAAATGTACATTTGTGTTATAGTTACCATTTATAGTACATTTCAATATACCTAAATTTTTATTAAATTTGGAAGAGGGATTTGCAATCCGTAAGATTTTATTACATACTAAACAGAAAATCTTTTATATTAAGTATTAAAATTAGAACGGGAGACTTATAAACATTCAACGATTAATAGCTAACATGTAGACGAAGCCGATTAAAATGTAAACGAAACCAACCAGACGTCCGTTTATGGCAGCAGCGATGATGAGTCGTGACGTCATACCGTGACGTTCGAGGCCTACGTGATAGACGTATATCACGTAGGCCTCCGTGACGTTCTAGTTCTTCATTTTCATTGCATGGGACATACAGAGAAGGCTTACCCCATCTAGTCTAACATTCATGAAACAAACTTGGTTATTTAAGAGAAATGTGTTGCCACTGCCCAAATTAAAATATTTTAAAATGTGTTATCGTTCAGCAAAGCGTGAAATAGTTAACTTTTCAAGCATTAACATGCGTGTTATTGCATCACACGCATTTTTGAAAATGAATTTGTAATAGTCGTCACAAAGTTTTGCTTTCGCTGTGAAATCAATTATGCTACGAAAACGAAAATCGATTGCTCGATCTACACCTCAGGCACAAAAGGAAAAGGCATCACGAGCTTCAGAAAGAAACGAGCAACAGAAAGCAAGACTGGAAAACGTTCCAGTATGCACTGTTCGATTCAAACCATCGCTGCAGGCTGATTTAAATTTTGATGCATTCCATTACAATGCTAATTATGATTACAGTCTTCATCTAAGTGCTGTTGTTGAGAAGATGGATAAATTATGCATGTATTGGAGACTCCTCAAATTTAAGACTAAAATACCAAGAATGTGCTGCGCGGGTGGAAAAAAGAAACTGCCAGAATTAAATTTACCATTCGAACTATTATCAACCTTGGTATCAGGTGATAAAAGCCGTATAAGCCCATCGTACTATAATGAATCAAGAATTTGTCAATTACCTAAGTGAATTCTTAAATTCACTTAAATTGCCAGGCATGCGCCTCACGTTTTAAACTGGAAACTGGTGTGCCTGTCATTCTTCTCCAAAACATATATCTCCACGACTTTGCAATGTTACCAGACCTTTCGGTTAAAACAAGGGTGAAGAATATCATCGAAGGTACTATTTTTAAATGGAAAATTTAAAGGAGAATATGTACTGTTGCCACGTATCATAATGATTCCGACAGATACGCCATTCGAATTTAAACGTTTGCAGCTAGCGGTGTGACTCGCATTTGCAATACCACCAACAAAGCGCGGGGACAATCGTTATAAGTTTGTGGAATAAATTTGGAAAATTCATGCTTTGTACGATCAGCTGTATGTGGGCTCCTCACGTGTCGGAAAATCTTCCGGTTTATTCGTGCACCCACAAAATAGAAAACCAAAAGATATTGTATATCCAAAAGCATTTCAATAAACAGAATTAAAACACAAACACTTCTTCCTATCCTTTAAGTAGCATGGCAACGCATGTAACGCTAGTATATTTATAAAACATTATTTGAGGATTTAATATTATTTGAGAATAAACGTTATTTGGGAATAAACATTATTTGAGTGCACGTAGCGCATCAGTTTGGGTGTAGAATTACTGAAATTTGAATTACTTTTGATGTGCCAATTCCTATTCTACGTTTTTCAAAGATACTTATTGGGAAAGCTACCTGGTACCAATTTAGATGCACAATTAGTTTTATTATGCTACTATAATTAATTACTATGATTATTCAGTTAATTACCCTCTTTCTTGAAAAGCTCCTTAAAATAATTATTATAAAAAAAAGTATAAAGATTTTAAGGAGTTCAGAAAGTGTAATTACACGGGTCCAGGTAGTTATTAATAATAATAGAGGTGAAGTACTACGTTTATTGCTTTTAAATCGTTTAGTTTGTTACCCGTTTAATCAATTACAGACACATTAATTTAAGAGAAAAATTAAATATCTTACATTTTGCCGAATGGAAACACACTGGCACGGGGAAGATAAAAATATTTTATTTCCAGCAGTGGGAGCACATTTCTGTTAAATCAGAGTTTTCTGATTAAATGCGAAACAATTATCTTATACTTTGCCGAGTGGCAGCACAGTGCTTTTAAATCGTCGAGTTTGTTAACTAAAATGTTATTAAATACGCCTAAAATATGAAATAAATAAATAGAAAGAATTGGAATTTAGAGTTGCGTATGTTCGGATGTAGGACTAAGTGTGTTTAAAATATTTTGTGTCTCTAAGTGCTGCCGTTTTTTACAATACGAAAAACATACGTACAAACAGGTGCTTTTTTATTTAACAATATAGGTAGTTGTTTTAATTGTTTTCCTCATTCTTCAGATGCCAGACAGCGGAAATTGAAATTGTATTTGATGACTTCGAAATAACAAACGTGACCTACAATCCAAAATTCGAAGTAAGTGTTGAGTTTGAATGGATTTCACACTTTCATATTCGTTTATGATTGGTTAACAAATATAAATACAAGGAATATATTCGCATCAATAGAAACTATCTCCCTAAATTGTTAATTTAGAGAGACTTTGTTAATTTGCACTTCTTACCTCCTGCATTACTCCTGCTTAAGAAGCAAAGTCAAATATAAATCTGTTGCAGTCTTTCAGGAATTCGAAGATTATAGCAAAAGCGTACCCTTCCTGCATGAGACTTGAATATTTTTAGCATCAATAGCAAGAGAGCATTATATAAAGTATTGTCAAACATTATATAAAATTTCTACAATAAATGTAAAATTACTACAGTCAAAAGTCGTTAATCCGGACTCATCTGGACTTCGGCAACTCCGGATTATCGATTTTTCCGGATTATAGATCATCAGTTTAAATCTGGTAAAATGGCATGCAGAAATTATAAAATTAAAAATATGAAACCGTAATTTATGAAATAAAGAACAATTATGATCTAAAGGTTATCAAAATTTACAAAAAAAAGCTTAATATTTATTTGTTTACTTTATTAAACATTTCTTTCAATGTAAGTTGTTTAAGTTGCTTCGTTTTTTATGTGATAATACTTTCTCTTTAATTCTATAAACAGACATAATTTCTGTTCAGTTACAAAGTTCCACTGTTCAAGTCCTATAATTGTTGTGTCAAGAATACTGACTAATTTGTCAATCGAAATTTTTTCGTTTTCAATAACCTTTCTGTCACTTTCTTCGCTATCGGAAGCGAATTATAATGACGAGGAATTTGATTTAAATCATATCAAAGACGGAGTACATCGAGATGAAATACTACATTTAGTAAGGAATTATAAGCCAAATAAAATAAAAACATCTGCCTGAAGATAAGGATAGTGCTGACAGATCAACTTCCAATTCATTGCGCGCCGCGGCGTTAAAGATAACCCAGTTTATAAACAAACGTTAAGTTTAGATAAAAAGGATATGATCCATTTTTGCAGCAATTCCACTTTTTGTTTAATGACTTCGAAACATACTTTCGCTTTGTAGATCCTTTACATATTAGTAAATATATATCGGAAATTCTTTTGACATAATCGAAAGTTCAAGCTTACTTTTATAAAATTGCTCTAACAGTCTGCAAAAAATAATAAGCCGGATCCAATTCGAAGATTAAGGAACAACGCAATCTGCAACATTAACTGAATTAGATAATTTTAGCTTAGCTTATACCGTCCGTTATACATTAAACGCGCATTCGTAAACGTATTTTGCGCACGCCCACACGCATATTCGCAGCCGTAAAGGTCTTACGCGCATGCGTCAAAGCGACGCATGCGCAGAAAGTTTGTAGCTTTGAGGTCCGGATTATGGGTGTCCGAATTAACGACTTTTGACAGTAGTAGATAACATCTACTGATTATGTAAACCTCTAAATTACCGTTAAAAATTTGCTTCACTTTGTTTATTGTTGATTGTTTTATCTGCAAATTGTGCTATTGGATAAACGTTGAGGAATGAACTCTATGAAATAAAATTTTAGGTATTTAAAATCAACTGTATTGATTCTTAACAAGAAAAAATTATTTCGGTTTCCGTGGCAAACAGAAAACAGGCTGAATGTAATAATGAACGTGAAGAGCTTTACATCTTTACCGCAATATGTATTCATACAGTGGCGTTTTATGACTTTTTAATCGAAAAGTAATACGCAAACAAACATATTACTGAACTAAATCGAAGTTATGTTGTTACGCTGTTTATTTCATTTAATTGATAGTTTGGATTAAGGAATGATACTCATATAAATTTTAGTAAATGAAAAGATATTATTTTCGTAACGTTAAACAATTTGTTAAAAGTATATATTAACAGAGGGCATCATTCTGCTAGGAAATTGTAATAATACATTTCTTTTGAAATATCCTTATTAACCAGCAGAAAAGATAAATTGAAACTGATCCACTTTCGACGAAGCTACGTATTTTTTTATCTGACAGTGTTATCATAGACTGCACCAATGATCGGGTGCTTAAGGCCATTGAATGAAGCGTTCTGCCTGGAATCGGTCCCAGGCGAATAGGCTGGTTCCATGTTTGCTTTTCTCCTTATGTAAATGTGAATATCAGCCGCCTGTTTCCCTTAGAAAATCTTTCACGAATGCATCACTTCCTTCAGGCAGATGAACTTTCGAGTGGTTTTTCAAATAACCCAATAAAGCTGTAGGGATTTATATTTATTTTAAATAACCAGTTTTATTAGTCCAAAGGGATTTGAGTCCCGAAGGACTATTACTTTCGTTTTGGCATTTTGCGTCGAGCTTCTATAAAAGTCGGTTCACTTTTTAAACTGTTGCCACAAAATGTTAGAGTCCTGTATTATATTTAAAGAAATTAAATAATGGAAAATCTGCACAAATGTATGTTTATTTCTCGCATTGTGACAAAACAACGGTATCTAGAGCCATCCAATTTTGAATACGTAATCCTACTGCGAATATGGCATCTGAAATCCCAAATTTGAAATTTGGAATTTGTTTTATTATCGATTTCATATTTTTAAACTTAACAAATCAGTAGGAACCAACTTGTGTAACAAACTCAAGGATTTACAAGAGATCAATGGCAACGTTGTGCGGGGAAAAAAAACCTTTTTATCTCCAGCGCGTCGAGTCTCTGTATCGGAAATTCTAAAGATATGCTCGTTTTAAAATTATTTTGCGATATTGCTGTTGAACTGGAATTTTATGGTTTAAGTGCGAAGGAACATGATATTTAATAAATAAAGGTAACACACAAATGATAAAAAAAAACGCCCCTTTGGACGTAATTTAAAATCTGAAACCTTTCAAATTTATTTTATTTATTTATTTTATTATTACAACTTTAAAGTATCACGTATGAGAATTGTACATTTATATCAAGGTTATTTAATTTACGTTTTTTTTTTTTAATTTATTTATTTTTTAATTTTAAGTTCTTTCCTATAAGGCTTCATTCCCCTAATTATCAATGCCAGAATATTTTACATTTGGTAGCGCGCGTGAAGAAATGCTAATTTTACCTTGAGGAGAAAAGGTTTAAATACCGAGTTTTTAGAAGGAAAGTGAGAGAATGTTAAAGCTATTGCCGTTACCTTTGTAGCGTAAGCTTCTACTTTCGCAGTTATTGCTGGTTTACGTGGCATTTTTTACTTTACTGTCACTAGTTTCGACGCGGTTTTAAGTAACAGGAGTTATCTGAGCCCTGTAACGTGATTCCTACTACTGCTTGTAAATATCTTCGACTTTTTATTTTAGTTCTTGTGATTTGAGATACCGCCCAAGTAAGGCATAGTGTGTTAGCGTCAAGTCGACGCAACGGGAATTTTAAAGAGTTTAATAAAGGGTACTTTTAACCTTTCTCTTGTGCGGTTCCTCCAACTTACTACACGTACAGTTGTCACTTAAAAGATAAGCAAGTGGTTCTCACAAAGCTATTGTGATAAAATGTTACACAAGAAAATGGAAAATCTAAAGGGAGTTTTATTTTATTCCGAACCTCTGCTATGTTTTTTAACTTAATAATCTGTTGTTAAACATATTTTTAACTGTTGTGCCCTAAAACAGTGCATTAACGTATTTTTAAGTACAAATATTATTTCTTTTTTACTATTCTAACCCAAGTCATAGTTCAGCCATTCAGAAAAATGCATTTTAGTACAACATAATTATTTGCAATTAATTCGATGGCAACTCCTTAATTATTAGAAGTTCATCCTGTAAGATTACGTAATTAAGAATACGTTAATACACTACTTTGGGCAGAACAACGGTTTAAAATATGTTTAGCGACAGATTATTAAGTTAAAAAACATGGCCGAAGTTCGGAGTAACGTTATGGTGTTAACGTAACTTGGGTAGATTTTCAATGACAAAATTCTAAACATTACCCTAAATCACTAGAAAATTTAGTTAAGAAGAGAATTATCTTCTACAGGAAAATAAGTCTCAGAAGGACAACTAGGCAAAGCTTAGATCTAATAGAAGTGAATTAATCCATCTTCATTGCACTTAGTCAGGATTCATCCTGCACCAAATGGAAAGAATGGAGTACTCACGCGTGACCCGACTGCTTAGTTGAGTCTTTAACTTTATATATCTTGTCATTAAATCGAATCGTTCGAATCCCGTTCTTAAGTTCAATTGCCTGAAGAGGGCTGTCTCAGTAGTAGCGATTCTATCCACTCTGAAAAAAGACTTTAGCCAGGAGGTCTTTAGATGTTACTTGTATTAAAATCAAATGTTTGAATGAAAAGTAATAAAAATTATAACAGTCATTTTAATTTGTTGGGATTTGATATGTTTCTGTTATTGTTTTAGAGTCTAGAATTGTTCAGCGTGATTGGTGGCTACATGGGAATGTATCTTGGTGTGTCAATAGTGGCAGTATACGACTTCGCCGAAATCCTAATGACTGCCATCTATAAGTTTTTTAAGAAGCGAGAAGCCGCAAAGAAGAAGACGAAAATTCAGCGGAAAAAAGACGTGAAACGGCATATGGATGACTTTCGGTACTCAGCTGCATTCCGACGGAGATCTGTAGTACCATACGCGTCAAGAGATGTTTATTAAAAAGACTGCACATGTTGTTTAATTATCTTTTAAATTCACTTACTGGTTTTATGAATGTAATAGCACGTTCAGTTAAAATTGTTTTCGCATGAAAGTTAATAATTTTTTGCCTGGAAATGATTAGTTTCAATGTTTACTTAAAGATATAATTTTTGAAATTACGTGAATGATTACTTTGGAATCTGACTGACATTCTGTTATCTTATAAATAATTTTCATTTCATTAATACCTGTATTAATATTTTCCTTGCAAAATCCACTTATGAAATGAAATTACTTTCCATTGAGACTCTGAATTAAAATCATTCAATGAATATACTGCTACCTACACATAAACTGTGCTTACTTACTTTCGTTATCAGATAAGAAAAGGCAGCATTTTATTTGAATATTACCTTTGTTAAAGTTTTACAAAATAGAAAAATATTAAAAGATACTCTTTTTAAAAAATGTTTGTCATATACTATTTGAAACAACTCAGAAACTAAAAAAATAATTTGTTTTTAAACTATTATAAAATGATTTATCGTTGAACTATTAAAAAGATCTTCTAAACAAGAATTTATAATTTATTTTCCTTTCTCTCAGTTACGAGATTACAAAAATTTAGCCATTTCTGCTCTCAATACCGAAACATAAATAAAACATTTAGTGTAAGAATAGCCAAAATTATTTCCTAAATTAATAAACATAATGTTTACAAGATTATTTAGGAAAATTAGTATTAATCTATAAACTATTTTGTAAGTTGAAAGATTTATTTAATTTTACTTATCGTTTTGTTAACTCTATGCTGTGTACAAATTGCCGTTTTATAACTTTCACCTCTTTTCCTTCTTCGTTACAGTAACCGATAACAATCATTTGCAGAACTAGTATTCTTAGTTTACCTTACAAATACGTAACTTTCTATACACTTTATGAATATGGTGCAAAAGTCACTGAAGTTCTTAACTCTAGAACTAGTGTCTGCTACAGGGAAAACTTTCTGTATACTTATGTGCATAAGTCACAGAAAGTTTTTACTTCTACAACTTGTATCCGCCATAGGGAAAACTTTTTATATCAATATAATTTTATTGGAAATTATAATTTTTTTTTATTTGGTTTCTTAGCTTTCTCTCATCAGTACTTTCACGTTCTATTAAAGTTTTGAATTCAGTATAATTTGTGGTCTTTATTTTATTGTATTTGTTATAATAGGCAGCCATTAATTAGTAAACATAAGGCAATGTTAATTTACTTTTCAATCTAATTTTCATGAGTTATACCTTAAAAAAGTGTTCGCTGAGTTTAATCTCTATAGTTCAGTAGGTATAAAAAAAATAATATAAAAGAACTTATATATTTATTCATTGAAATCACGTTTCTATCTTACCATTTACAACATAGAGAAACTCTTTCAATAATTAGTTATTCTTTAAACCAAGATGACTTTCGGACTATAGTTTCATTGAATGGTACTTTTCCGTTTCTCCGTCGCAAATCTCGCAAAGCAGACTTTATTGGCGGCAACATACAGTATGTACATAAAAAATGTTAACAAATGTTAGTTCTAAGAATTTTTAATTTTGAAGGCATAAACATTTTAATATCGTTTAAAATTTTGTAAAAAGTCAATAAATAAAGGCAATAATTTGTAAAATAACATTAGTTTAAGAATTTACTATGCTTTCATAGTTCAACATCCTAATTCGCCGGTTCGTATCGCGTGACCCCAAGTGATTTCATCTCACGTAAATTACGCTAGTAAAATCTAATTCTCTCAGTAATTATCTACATTAATTTCAAGTTAAATCTTAATTTGGAATGCGTTTGAATGCAAGAATTACTTCAATTCGTAGGAATAGCTTATGTAAAACCGCAGTGCTTTATTTCGCTAGTGCATTCTCATTAGAATTTATGAATTTAACCCTTGACTTTGCCTTTTCTATATTTTCGCCTTCGGGTGAGCGGTTTGATAACATCTTAATTAACTTAATTACCGCGAGTGGCCTTAGGGCATAAAAATTGAACTATCTGGTAAAATTTCTATGTGATTGTATGCCAGGATTGAAAGAAACAGTTAATCTGATAAGAAATGGTTGCGGTTTGTTTTGAAAATGAGGTGTAAAAGGTTACCCAGCGAGGATATTTCGTTTGGCATCAGTTGTACCATTATTGGCGACTTTATCGCCTGCGCCGGCAAAACGGAAAAGTACCCATCGAACAAACTACTGAGTAAATAAAACCTCTTATTCAGCTAATTAAGCCCATTTAACTTGACGGTGGTAATTGTTTTGGCTAAAATTCCATAAGGGGGTAAGTTGGCGCCAAACTATTTTGGCCTTCAAAATTTGGCGAATTTTTTAGGCGGCAATGAAAGCACTAAAATATGATTTTTAAATGTCAACAGAATAGTAACTTTTAAGTTTTGCAGTAGTGAAACGCCGTTATTTTATGTAAACAGAATAGTAAAATGAGATGATAAAATACTAGATGAGTAAAACAAAGTTCAACAGCTTTGCAAGCAAACGCATAGTCCTATATATATGTAATTCATCATAAAATAGTAGAATAAACAATTCTTGTAAATAATTATTGAGTAAATAAATGTATACACTTATCAGATCAGAGCACTACGAAGTGAGTTTTAAACGTAAACAGAATATCAAATTATGCGTATTCAGCATCATAAACTAAAAAAAAATATTCAAGTTACTATTGTCGTGGAATTCAACACACTAAACAACTTTCGTTCGCAGCTTTAAATATTCCACATCTTTCGATTGCCACATGCAAGAAACAAAACTAAAAAAAAAATTGACTAAATAAAATTAAATGAAAACATTTATAAATTATAAACTTCATGTCATATGAAATCCAACATTCTCCCACCAACAACAGCCTAACCTTCTGCAAATATGTATATAAGTATAACATTAAACATATATGTAACAATAATATTAAACAGTAAAACTTTTAAAAACAATCACGGTATTTCAAAATTAAATTTTAAAAAAGCTCTGGCTACACTAAATTCGCACTCTTACAGTTACCGAAATTATAGTGCACTATACCGAAATAAAGCTCTAGATTTGCCACAAGAAAACATACAGCCGAAAACCACAACCAAATTAAAATCGCGCCAAATAAAAAAACTCTCGCCAAGCTTGGCGCTCCCTCCGATTATGGAATTTTAACCATTGTTTTAATAGAACTGCTTTTAACAAAACTCTTTTATTTTATTATCATTATTAATCTATAAAACAAGTTCTTTGATGCAGGAAAAGACACCAAAACATTAACCATTGTTTTAATAGAACTGCTTTTAACAAAACTCTTTTATTTTATTATCATTATTAATCTATAAAACAAGTTCTTTGATGCAGGAAAAGACACCAAAACATTATAGGAAGTATTTTTAACACATTGATAATTATTTTTAACACATAATCTGCCTGAATGATATGAATTCTGTTAAGAACAGGATGTACACGAAGCGGGCCGTAGAAATCTCAAAAGATATGTTCATCATTATCTGCAGTCCTATGCCACGAACAAATATATAAAGTAAAATTTATTTTAAATAATGATAATATGTCTAATATAATTAAAATTAAGTCTAATATAATTAAAATCGTCTTTCATTTCTTTCCTTATCTTCCAGATTTAAGAAAATGGTACTTTTCCGTTTCGCAGGCGCAAATCTCGCCAAGCAGACTTTATTGGCGACAACATATAGTATGAAAAATATTTAAAAAATTTTAGTTCCAAGAATTTTTTATTTTGAAGGCATAAACATTTTAATATCGCTTAAAATTTTATAAAAAGCCAATAAATAAAGACAATAAATTTGTAAAAAGACATTAATTTAAGAATTTGCTATGCTTTCATGGTTCAACATCCTGATTCGCCAGTTCATATCACGTGACCCCAAGCGATCTCATCTCAAGCAAACTATTCTACAAAAATCTAATGCTCTCAGTAATTATCTACATTAATTTCAAGTTCAATCTTCATTTGGTACACAAGGTTAAATGCAAGAAATATTTCAATTCGTACGAATAGCTTACTCAGAAATTATGTAAAACCGCAGTGCTTTACTTCGCTAATGCATTCTCATTAGAATGGATGAATTTAACCCTTGACTTTACCTTTTCTATATTTTCGGCTTCGGGTAAGTGCTGTGATTGCATCCTAATTGACTTAATTACCGAAAATGGCCTTAGACATAAAACTGTACTATCTGATAAAAATTCTATGTAATTATATGCTAGTATTGAAAGAAACAATCAATCTGATAAGAAAAAGCTGCCACTTGTTTTGAAAATGTGGCGTAAAAGGTTACCAGCGAGAATATTCCGTTTGGCATCGGTTGTACCATTATTGGCGACTTTATCGCTTGCGCCGGCAAAACAGAAAAGTACCAAGAAAATTTAGCTTATCATTTTATCCACGTTATCAATACCAATGTAAGAATAATTACTAAAATTTTGAATATCTACGACTTTTTTTCAAAATATTAATATTTTTTTCAAAAAATACATTCTGAGCAGGTTAACCAATTTTGCGCTACTCTGGAACTGTTATTTCAATTGGCTCAATATTTTTATTTAGACTTCATTCATCTGAAGCAGCATTTATTCCACAATGATTATTCATTATAAATTTCAGTATGCATAATGTCACTATCAGATATATTCCCCTCTTTATTAATAGAAATTTCTGTTGAAATTTTCTTTTTGTTCTTATCATACACAAAATTTCCTTTTGGAATTGAGCTGCTAGCACCAACAGGAAAACTTTCCCAGTTTTTCTGAAGCACAGAAGATTCTGAGCCTAAATATTTATTCCCAGCATCAGAATATTTTTTAGCCAAATGCATGTAATTCAAGAGTTCCGATAATGTAGGAAGCTTGTCTATGCTATTACTCCTATGAACGTTAAAACAATTACTCGAATTCTGAATAGCTTCAGGTATATTTTGATTTGTGTTCGAACGGAAATGCTCAGCGATTTTATGCTCATCTATAACTGATTTATCAGTTTGCTGTGAATGCTTGAAACAATTTCTGCTATTATCGTCTTGAGACAGAATATTGTTTCCATACTTCACATTTACATTAGTATCTGACAATTTATAATTACATGAAGGAGAAGATTCAGAAACAAAAATAAC